AAAGTTCAAAGTTACAATGATCAGAGACGATGCCGCGCCACAACAAACGGAAGGAGCCAGAGGGGATTGTGGTCCTCTTGTATGCATGTGCTTGGAGCGTTTGACGACAGGAAGTAAACACCTTCTACCTCCCACAGATAGAGATAGAGGTGCAGTAGGCTTATGGTTTCGGCATTTTATGGCTCGAGCGATATATGCGAGACGTTGACTACCTGCATCTGCGTGCTGAAAGTTTGCATAAACAATTGGTAAGTTTGAGCAAGTGTTGTTAACATATATACTCTTTGTCGGTTTGAAAATGTTTGGTTAAGTACCTAGAATTCAATAATTTGTTGTTTGTTGGTTTTAGATGTATAGAAATTGCTGTTTGAGAAAATGTTTGGTTTCTGCAGGTTATTCCTGACGTGAGCTGCATGAAATTGATGTATTTGTGCATAAACAACAGTCTAGGGTACACTTTTTTGCTTGTTTAATTGAATTTTACATTGAAAGTTGATTTGTTTAATTGATGAGGAAATAAGAATTATTTTTTGCTTGTTTAATTGATTTGTAAAAGTTGATTTGTTTAATTTGATGTGTAAATAAGAATTATTTTTTTGCTTGTTTAATTGATTTGTAAAAGTTGATTTGTTGTTTTAAATTCAATCTGCATTTTGTTGAAGGCAAAAAAGACCTATTGAAGGTACAAACTCTCAACGCGAAAGGTAAATTCGCAACGCGAAATAAGTGTTGCGATAGTCAAATTCTCAACGCGAAAGTCAAATTCGCGTTGCGATTTTCGGTTTGCGATTTCGAGTTGAGAATTTGACTTTCGCGTTGCAAATTTGACTTTCGCATTGATCGCAACATACAACATCAAGTTATATACAACATCAAACACATTCCAAGCTATAAATACAAGCTAAGGACACTTGAAGAAGCAAGAGAACAACTATCCAAGCAATCAAACACAAGAGAAAATCCCAACATGATAACAACTGAACAGATCATATCAATGTTCAAACTCAAGTTACTAATGAATGTCTAACTGAAAATGTATGCATTCACACATAAAATACACATAATATAACGTTTGCATTTAAAAATCACCTAAGTTAATAAGTCCCAAAAGGTGAAGCCAGTTGTGATTGAGATTTTGATTTTGATTGCGATTTTGATTTCCTTTTGCTTTGCACCATATGAGCTTTGGATTTTGATGAGGATCCATATTTTGGTAGAGGAAAAGATGATTGTGATGGCACTGGTGATCCACATGTCGATATCTAAACATGATCAACATTAGATGATTTCATTCTACAAATTGTAAATTAATTTACTAAACAAACGAGCTATAAACTATATATCATCATTAACTTAGAGAAGAACATACCTTTATTAAGTTGATAGTTGATAATTTGGGAGAGAAATCATTAAAAAATTATATAGAAATAAAATTATTTAAAAAAATGCCTTCCGAATATTATCAATTTCATCCAGCTCATGAAGATATGATAACCATTAATCGAAACAGTCTGAGAGAAACATAGCTGATGTAGAAGCAGCTGCATATTTAAAATATCGAAGGCGATCTATTTGGTTCTCAAACATTTAAAGCATCGGAAGCATTTCGGACTTATGATTTGGGTGGTACTCGGAAGCATTTCGGACTTATTATTTTTTTGTTATTATTACAAGTTGTAGCCCTCAATTATCGGGATTTTTAGTTGACATTTGTTGCATTTCTCGTATACCACCCAGATCATACGCCCGAAACATTTCTGACGCTTTAACTGTTTGAGAACCAAATGCATCACCATTGAGATTTTAAATCTACAGTTGCTTCTACATCAAGTATGTTTAGCTAAGACAGATTTGGTTTAGGGTTAAACTACCTCAGTGAGCTGACTGAAATGGATAATATCCGAAAGGCATTCTTCGGATATCCAATCTTCCTGCTTGTTAACCAAAAATTACGATGGTCGGGATTTCCTCGCGTTTAAAGTTGAAAAAAAAACAATGGAAATTAGGAATAATCAATGATAACATGCATATTGGCTAAGTTATTTCATTGAGTAAGTTGTTGTTTGGATGGAACAAAGGCTTGGGCTAATATTTATAGTGGAGCCGAAATTTATATTGAAATTCAAACTCGAATTGAAATTTAAATTCAAACTCCAATTACATATGAAATGAATTTGAAATGCAGTGTTAAATTGAATATGGAAATTGCATAATTGATTCATACTGTTCAAGTAACATGCTTTATGAACCATCAAGCTAAAAGACAATATTGATTGAGTTCAAAGCTGAGTTGTGAGTTGATAGGGTTGTCACACTTGTCACATGGTTGGAATAAAGACTCACATGGAAGAGATAGATTGTTTTGTTATGCACAGCGCATCTCATCTGAATGAAAATATACATACAATATAATCAAACCAAAACATACATACACAACAAATTTATACATAACAATGTTCAAATAATGTACCCACAAAAATGAAATTAATCCGATGAAAAAGGTTTATTTCTAACGAAGTCCGGAACATTATTTTCTAAATAATGTACCCATAACAATGTTCAAATAATATACCCACAACAATGTTTAATTGATTTGTTGTTTAATTTTCAATCTGCATTATGTTGAAGGTAAACTTTCGCAACGCGAAATTCAAATTTGCAATGTGAAAGATAAATTCGCAACGCGAAATAATCGTTGCGATAGTCAAATTCGCAAAGCGAAAGTCAAATTCGCAACACGATTTTTGGTTTGCGATTTCGCGTTGCAAATTTGACTTTCGCGTTGATCGCAACATACAACATCAAGTTATATACAACATCAAACACATTCCAAGCTATAAATACAAGCTAAGGACACTTGAAGAAGCAAGAGAACAATTATCCAAGCAATCAAACACAAGAGAAAATCCCAACATGATAACAACTGAACAGATCATAGCAATGTTCAAACTCAAGTTACTAATGAATGTCTAACTGAAAATGTATGTATTCACACATAAAATACACATAATACAACGTTTGCATTTAAAAATCACCTAAGTTAATAAGTCCCAAAAGGTAAAGCCGGTTGTGATTGGGATTTTGATTTTGATTGCGATCTTGATTTCCTTTTGCTTGGCACCATATGAGCTTTGGATTTTGATGAGGATCCATTTTTTGGTAGAGGAGAAGATGATTGTGATGGCACTGGTGATCCACAGGTCAACCTTGTATGACCATTTTCCTTGCACCGACTACATGTCGATATCCTCTTCTCCTCACCCTTAGACGGTATACGATCGTGTTTTTTTGGTCGACCAGGTAGCCTGCTATCCATGATTGTTGGCAAAATTATTTGTAAGTCATCTGGTATGTCCCACTCAGAAGGATGTGGACATGGGTAGACAATCTCGGCATAAGTCTGTCGATATACTTCTGTAGTGTAGCAATCCATAGCGTATGCGCTTGAATCATATTGGTTTAGATTAAGAGCAACTTTTATAACATGGCCACACGGATAACCAGATGTTTGCCATTTCTTACAACTACACGTCTTTGCATTTAGATCGACAAGCCCATTTAAGTTATTATCTAATACTTCAAACAAAGTGTTTGAACATGGTTCAACTCTCCATGACATTGACTTCACAACACGTTTCGTTATCTTTTTTTCATTCCATGGTGTAACACGACGTTCCAATGTTCCTGTAAATTTAAATAAATAATACTTAGTAAAATATATGATAAGTTACGAATTTAAAGAAATAATACCTGCATGGTTTCTTTTCTTGTAGTACCACTGTTGAATAGAGACTCAAAAAAACTCCATTAACATAGTAATAGGTAATTTCCGAGAATGACGACTTAGAGCGTTGATTGATTCTTCACTATTAGACGTCATGAAACCATATCTTGCTCCAAGTTGATGTACTCTTGACCATCTTTCAAACCCGACATCTTCTAGTGTTTGAGCACATTGAGGCAAAACACGTCTTAAACAATTTATATGCTTATTAAAATCCACTTCCCGATAAGCTTTTACAGCCTTCCAGTATGTCCATTTGTGATTTTTTATACCATCAGACCTTGATTTTAGATTTCTGTACAAATGAACACCACAAAGTCCATGAAAAACATCTGAGAAACACCTTCTAACAGCGTTGTCAATTGAGTTTGCCCTATCGGATATGATTGTCAGATTGGTAATATGACCTATGCAATCCCTAAGATGCCCCATAAACCATGTCCATGAATCAAAAGTTTCATATACACAAGAAATATAATCATTTAAATGTGAAATGCATGCAACTAACAAAAATGAGTCAACAAAATTATAATTATTTACTAACCGCAGCACCAATGGCGATAGATAGCAACTCAAAGCGTCCATCTCTATCTGTTTTGATATGAGTTACCGACCCATGATTTTTTAGCTTTAAATTGTGACAATAAGTCGGCAGTTGGGCGAAAGATGCTTCTGGCGATCCCCTCAACAATTCCAAGGCATAACATTTGGCTCTCCAAGCTTGAGAATATGAGATACTAATCTTGAACCGAGCATTCATGTCAGTCATAATTTCATATCCCCGATATACCCTTCCATTCAAAAACATTAACTCAGCCAGAAAACCACCCAACACCTTTTTGTTTGCTTGTCTATGGTGAGGAAAAACTTGGGTTCTTGAACATGTATGTTTATCAATAAAAGTCCTAACTTGAAACATTTCGCAATCTTTTATCCTCTTTGCAATCACACGCCACGTACAGTTTTTGTTAATCATACACCTTGTTTCGAAACGATCTTTGCTTGATTTGTTAACTTTTAGTTAATAGCCATCTTCCACACATTTCGTATACAAAGCTATCTTCAAGTCTTCCTTTGTATCAAAACAATTATCTTTCTTGATACGAATAACTTTTTTGTAACAATCAACTGCTATCTTTACCAACTCTTCTTCGGATATCTAAAGTAATTCTGACATATTCCAGTTATACTCCCGTGGCATTTTCTTCTTTTTCTTTTCTTAAGGGACTTCTTCTTTTTTTTTTCTTATTCTGACATACTCCAGTTATACTCCAGTTATATTCCAATTATACTTCAGTTTGCAGAACAATACCCGCAATCATGCCTGACCAAATGCCCTGCATCATTTCACAAGTAAATTATAAAGATATGATCTCCAATTCTATTATATTCTCGAAATAAGATTTTGTTTCTGAATGAAAAAAATAATTTTATCCTTCTAAAATGTTAGATAATTTACCGTACCCCCAAACCCAAATGTAAACCCAAGGAGTAGACATGCACATGGTCGGATAAAAAATCGATTCGGATCAGATAAAAATTGATCTGGTTTTTTCACATAGTCAAAAAATCGGATTTTAAAAAAATCAGTTCAGATTCTAATCAGTTTGGAGGGCCGGATGGTGTAACCGGTTTCGGTTTGAAAAAAACCGATTTTTTAAAAAAATCGGTTTTTAATCCGGTAAAAAATCCGCTCCATCCAAATAATCCTTCAAACAAGTGCATACCCCCAACGGCTAGTTTTTTAAACCCCATAACCGGATTTTTTTCGAATAAAAACCGGTTTTTTATCCAGTTTTTAATCCGGTAAAAAATCCGGTTGTCCAATTTTTCCCCAAACCGGTTATACTATCCGAGTTTAAAATATCCGATCCGATTTTTTATATTTTTTACACAAAATCAGATATTCGTATTTTTTGTGCACCTCTACCGAGGAGTATGCCAACAGGTAATCCAAATATATAATAACACCCTATGTTTATGTACGCCACAAGAGATTGCCATCCAGCACCAACAGCAACACCTGAAAACGAATCAAACTGTCACGAATGTCAACCATAGATGTATTCAGAGAATCTTCTGTGTGATTGAATATCCGTTGAACACAGATATAAAACGCAGAAGGTAACTCACCGGATAAGACCGGTTGGAGGCTGTTTAAGAGGACAGTAAATCCCAACAATAGAGCTAGCTTAGTAGTTTCTTTGGCAACTGCATTACTGCTGGTGAAGAGGTACGGGAAGTAACCTCTGGTCGCATACACCACAATCATGCAAACGATCCCGATGATCACGGATGTCATCGAAACAACCAGCACTGAAAATTTGGCAAGCCGAGCGTTTCCAGCTCCAAGTTCATTTGATACTCTCACACTGTTAACATAATAATCTGTTAAGTTCTCAGTTCAATTATAAGAGTTCATATTTAAACAAGTTCTGCTTCCAGGAAGAAACAGGAAATGAAGAGAAATGCACCTTATAGCTGCATTGAACCCAAGTGCAATCATTGCATCCCATCCATTTATGTTCATGCTGGAAATAGGATAAAATGAAAGTTGAGAAAAAAGGTAATTTCTACCGCTGCTAATAACACTTTTAACTTACTCTGTTCCATTTTTTTTCGATTTCATATTCCAAATTACAGCGGGTTAAACCGTTTAGTAAAGAGAGATAATGGAACACCTACCAAATGGAAATGGCATCAACTGCTATCAGAGGGTTTGGCAGGAGACCTGTTATGACTATCAGCACCATTAAATACCAAAACTCCAAGCTGCACCACATTTTCAACAACTGTTGTAAACATCAAAACCTTATATACGATTAATATGAACATAAAGTGAAGGGGAGAGAAGGAAAAAAGAAACATGACATAACATAATAGCAGAAGCCAAAGAAAGCTTGACAAAACCGAATAGATCCGCAAATGCTAGCCTTGAGAAACCAGACCAAGCACCATCCGACTTTGTAATAAAAATGTACAGCAACTGTCCAATAACTATGAGCCACCACGATACGTTCAAAGTTACAGCAGCACCGATCAAGCCCCAATCGAGCTTAAGTATCAGCAGCCAGCTGAAAAAGGCATGAAGGACCAACACCAGTGCTGAGACCCAAGCCATCACCAAAACTTTGCTCTGAGCTTGTAAGAACTTTTGTATGGGGAAGTTCATAGCATAAGCAAATAACTGTGGCATCATCCATAGAGCAAACTTACCTGCATCAAACAAGCTTAATGTCATCAATTTGTAACCTGATTTTCAGTCAAATTTCATTCATTCCCCAACCTGCAGCATCGGAGATTTCAGTGGTTTCCTCAAACAGTTTAAGAATTGGAGGAGACCAAATGTAAATGGGAGAGATTAAACATGATGTAATCACTAGAATGATCCATGATCTCTGCATGTAAACGCCCAGCATCCTTAGCCGCCCAGCACCATATGCTTGACCACATAAAGTCTCCAATGCGCTCCCCATTCCCAACTGTGACAAAATCAAATCAAATAAGACCAATCATTTCTACAAACCAATCAACATTTATACTAAAATCAAAGCGACGTACCGTAACACCGAAACCAAGCCCAGCTATAACAGAGTTCTCGACAGATACTGCAGGAAGGTCTAGTTCGGTAAGTTGGCCGGTAAATGTCTGGGTGAGGGCTCCCAATGAATACTGACAAATTGCGGTGAAAATTGCCGGCCCGGCAATATGCCATAATCTCTTCGACTCGTATCCGAACTCCTTAACCAAGTAAACAAACGTTCCTCTTTGCTTGCTATCATTGTCGTCACAGTCGTTGAGAAGTGGAACAATGTCAGCCGCCATAGCCGCGCTTTCTAGTGAAAGCTTGCACTGCAAATGAACTAAACGAAACGTTTACAGTGATGGGTACTCACTCAATTCTCAACCGTGTGTAACTTATCGTTAAGATACGATAAATATTGGTGTTTCTTCTTGTTTGCTTAAATAGGCACCGTCAGCTGGAAGATGTGGATTTTGCCCTCAAACAACCTGGGCGTTTTCTAAAATGTTACTATGAATAATTTTTCAGATACCAAAACAAATGATTGAAAAAAAAGGTGAAGGGTGGAATTATATCAAACCCCAGCAGCCATTGAACCAAAGAATGGCAGACTCCTAGAAGTTCACGACTCATCATCTCAAGATAACATTAGATGTTCAGTTGTATCAATTAGGGTGTCATGGGCGAGGTTTTTAGCTTAATTTAATTCGAAAATTAAATTTTTATACGTATTAAATTTGAATCGAATTTATAAAAACTTTATTCGATATAAAATTTAACTGACTTTTAAGGCAAAAATTCGTTCTGATCTAACTGTTATATTTATATAATTTTATTTTTATTAAGTAAAATAATGATTCAATTATAAAATAATATACAGCTGGTTATTATTGTAATTATTAATAGAAAATATAATGGATAATTTTATTTTCTTCATAAATCCAAATTTAATCCGACATGATTTTATTCTTAAAAACGCTTACTCTAACCTAATCCGGCTTGAATCTAATTTTTTTGAAAAATAAAAATAATCCGATCAATTGGGTCAAACCCATTAAATTCGGACCAAATTTACATCCATAGTACAAACACTTTAACTTCCCAACTTTCCTCAAACTGATTTAAATTTGTTATCTTAAATAAATATTTAAATTCTAAAATAAATATTAAATGAATACTCTATATTAATAAAATATTAAAATAATTAATTAAATTATAATACATGACACATAAGGCTGATTGACGATACAACTACATGAAGTGACTAGATATTTGTGGGATTAATGTATGTTGTTGTGATGGATTAATGTATGTTGTGATGGATTAATGTATGTTGTTGTGAGGGATACTAAAACTTTTGTCGTGTTGAAACTTTTCTCTGCCTTTTTAGGACCACAAGCTTTTAACTCTGCCTTTTTAGGACGTCAAGCTTTTAACTCTACCTAACTACCACCCCACTTGTAAAGCCCCTCAAGTTCTCTCCTATCTTAGCTACCCCACATTTACTTCCTAACCCCGTTGTTGCATTTTTCAACAACTTCACAGCCGGTGTCTGCATGGATCTCGAAACCGACTGCAGCATCTCCGAGAAGATATGGAGAAGCATTCATTGGGAAAGAAGAAAAGCCATTGTTGAATGAACCGTGAAATTAGATCCACCGCCGTAGATTGTCTAAAACACACCATCATTTTATTTTACGTCACCTCAATTTAAAGTTAATTTAAGATATTTTTAATTTAAAATATCATCATATCCAAATTAAAAAAGTTATGCAATTTATAATTTTTTTTGTTGTAGTAAAAAATATATTACGGTGGATTTAGAGTTTACAATAAAAAAATTATAAAATTTATAATGATTTTAGTTACAATTGAAGATTTATAAAAAATATAATATTCTGGTTTCGACCTAAAATGTTAATATTTCCAACCTAAAAGGTTGTACTTTTAATGAGATTTTTAGTTACAATGTCATTTTTAACCTTATATTAATAAGATATATTTTATAATATTCACAAAAATCTTACCCAATTAAAGGTTAGCACAAGAAGTCAACATCTTTGATCAAAGACGAAGATGTTAAGAAAAATATCAACAAAAAAGGCGTTATTATATAAACCCCCACCACCAAAACTATTTTTTGGAGAAGTACCCCCCACCATATTTGTTAGAAAAATAGCTCAAATTGTACATGTAGTAGTAACTCGCGTCTAAGTAATACGAGGAAAGGCCTCGCTTTGTACAAGCCGCGAGGTACGCCCAATGTGGAAACATTTTTCAGAGAATGTAATTTAATATTAGTATTAATGATCTCACGTTATGTAGAACGCGAGGTTCACGAGATATTGAAACGTCATGAGAAATTTATCGCAAGTGATATTTAACATACCTCGTGTTTTCCAATACGCGAGGTATTTAGTTTTTTCAGCCCAAATCACAAGTGCTTATAGGCATGTTCGAGTATTTAATCTCAAAATTTTCGTAATTTATAAGATTAGAGGAGTAGTATTTGAATTTATCTTCCAGTTGAAGTCAATATCAAGACATACGAGATATTGTAAGCAGGTCAAAAATCTCGTTGAAATGGTTCCAAAACTTGTTTTATGCATGAAGAAAATGCTAAAATGGTATGACAGACATATTTGAAGGGTTTTTTGGGTAGTTAATCTGAAAATTTTCGTAATTTCTAAGATTAAAGGCATAGTATTTTAACTTATCTTTCAACTGAGAGTAATATCAGCACGCACGAGATGTTATAAGCGGGTAAAAATCGCGTTCAAAATGGTTCCAAAGCTTGGTTTTTTACATGAAGAAGATGCTAAAATGACTTGATAGGCATGTTCAAGGCGGGGTAAAAAATCATATTGTTGAATGATAACTTAAACAAATTAATAATTAAAACTTAATTAATAATTTAAACAAATTTAGCCATTATATTCAATTCAATTATATAATTAAAACATAAAAATGTATTCATTTAAAATAAACTAATCGATATGAGGGCTTGATCGATTAAGACATTTGTTCTTAGAGTGTCCGAGATTCCTACAAATATTGCATAACTTTGGATGTTCGATTTTTTCTCGATGTTCGACCAAATACTTGTCATAGTAAATCCTCGTTGATCGTGGACGACCCTTTTTTTTGGCATTGTAGTGCAAAATATGGCAGTATTGTAGGCTCATCATCAACTTTATCCGGATCCCTTTCATTTCCAATAGGACGAGAATCATATTGATACACATTGAATATTGTTTCAAGTAAGTATATGTGATCAACAAATTGCATATAGTCAATCCATACAGAAGAACAAGCAGCAACGAAGTGTAGACAAGGGTATTTAAATGTTTAGAAAACTCCGCAGTCGCAGGTTCTATCACGTAGATTAATGACTTATGCGTTGTGTTGTATGCCTTCAAATGGCCTTGAATAATCTGAAACATGAAATTTATTTTGTTTGTGAGAGACTCGTGTTGCATTCTTCGTGTTTGAGTGTTGTATAAATGTTTACAATTTTCTGTAGAGGTCTAGGTAGATTATGTGGTCACATGCAATCCATTCAATTGCTTACCTTCCTAATGTTGCAAACAGGGTTGTCAACCGATAATATGTCTCTTTGACAATGGAAATGATAGGCATATGTCTCACTCCCTTCAGTAATGAATTGATCGCCTCAGCCAAGTTCATTGTCATGTGACTATATCATCTAACTCCATCAAATGATCGAAGCCATTTCTCCCTTGGGATTTTAGCAAGGTAGTTGTAGCCTTCTTGATTCCTATATCTCAATTTTTGAGACAACTACTCAACCTCATGTACGAAATGTGAGTGGCCTACCAATTAAAATAAAACATTTAATTATAAATAATAAATGAAAATATATCTGAATCCCAAAAGAGTGAAAGACGTGCCCATTTAAAGAACCATTACTCGTTCATCTTTGTTCTTAAACTTTTGCAAATAATTTGCAACAATATGGCATAAACAATACCGGTGATAAATATATGGAGGTTGCCAAGACGGTCACATACGCAAAACTTGTGATAGATATGGGGAGGTTGCCAAGACGGTCTTATACGCTCACACAAATTGATTTTATGGGGTTTTTTCAAAATAATAATGTGATTATTTTACGAATTATGACCTCGTGTAATGCAAGCAGCGAGGTAAATTATGCCACGTTGGATTTTAGTTGAGTCAGATTTAACGTATCTCACATCCTGTATAACGTGAGTTCCTGTTTGAAACATTGGATATTATTCGATTTAAAGCGTCGCGCCTTTTCAACAAACCTTGCATATTGGGAAACATGAGTTCCATCGATTCTTCTCTTCAGGAATGATGCAAGGACTGTTATAAATAGGGGGCCATATTGGAAGGTTTCTTAAGCCTAATTCAAACCAGAATGACAAAGAAAATATATTTTAATATTGTCAAATTATTCCAGAGAGAAGTGTTGTTGAGTTAATCGATTGACGGAATCGGCCAAGAGGGGGTGAATTGGCAATTAAAATTTTTGTGGAAGCTTTTGCAGAAAATTGAAAGTAATTGCACATCGATTTAGAGTGGTTCGACTTTCTCAACCAAAGTCTACGTCCACTACCTTAGCTATCCACACTAAGGATTTTCCAACAAATTCACTAATTTGTTCTTTCTTTTGAGGCCAAAGAGATAACCTTACAACTCCCTTAAGAATATACCCCAATTCTTGAGAACACTCTTTCTCAAAGAGAAGATTACAAATTTGCAAACTTACAAGGAAATCCTCACAAGGTAGATTGTTTGCACAATTCTAGAACAAAGAAAAGAACACTCAAGAATGAATACAATTGAGTACAAGTAGTGTTCTTGAAAGCAAAATGAATATTGAATGAAAAATAGGCTTGAAATGCTCAAACTTGAGGTTTGATGCTTTCTCTTTGATTCTCTCTTGATTCTAGTTACTTGTTGTTTCTTGTTATTGATTAATGGCTTCTAAGCTTGTTTAAATACACCTTCAAATGATTCTGAACGTTGGGGATGATTAGTGGAGTCAATAGAGCCGTTTAAGTGTGAAAACAATTAATGAAAGTGGATGGGAGCGTTAGTGCATCGATGCATACCCTAGGTACATCGGTGCATCAGTGTAAAATTCAAATATTTTGACCGTTGGACTCTCAGTGCATACCGATGCATAAAATGCATTCGATGTTTGGAAAAAGCCTGAGTGCATCGATGCATGGTCTTGTGCATCGATGCATCAAATGCACTTAGTGCATCGATGCATGGTATGTGCATCGATGCATAGAATGCATTCGATGTTCAAGAAATTAATTGATGCATCGATGCATGGATTGGTGCATCGGTGCATGCCTTTGAAAAATTGATTTTAGG